GGCAGGTCAAGAACAAGGAGTCGTACAACTGGCCTGGTAAAAGTGCCGGTTGGTGTTTAGAAAATAGAAACGAGATATAAAATAAGAGATTGTAAATTATCAGTGTTTGGACTGATGTACCATGTACATGTATGCAAAACACAGCTGAGCACTCCGAGCAAGGCCAGGTACAGTACGCGGGTTAGCGGGTCCGGCAAGCAACGAGCTCGAAAAATTACAGGGAATCTGTTGCCCAGTACCAGTTGCTGTCTCTCAGGTGTCGGTATAATGACTGAAAACGTGTTTTGTGTGGGCGCTGCGACAGCAGCCTGTCAGGAAGGGAATTCCATGCGCCAATACAGCAGTACGGGAACGACTGCTTCACGACGGATGGAGCTGAGACAGGGAGGTGTCTGACAGTTGATAGGCGTGGCTAGTGTCATGCATTGCGCAAGCTGCAATTGAAACTAATTTACCTAAATTGCGATGCATTTGTACAGGAGTTATGTGTACGTGTGGAAAAGCACGATAATTATGCTGACAGCGACTTCCGCGATGATTTCATAGGAAATGTGCTCCCGACACCAGATGTCGTACTTGTCCGCCGACTGGCTGAAATTTGACTGACTCCCAACTGCCATCCAGATAACACAATAAGTCCATTGAACCTTCGACTTGGCAAAGTCAAGTGTCAATCAGTCTGCGGAAAAGCGGGAGCTCCGGTGTGGAAAGCACCTTTCCTCTCTTGAATAGAAGTATAAAATTGTTTGAACTGTGCTGAGGAGTATAAAATGTCCATGATGCTAATCTAGTTGGTTTTTTAGTCAAATGTTACGTTATGATGCATTCACGAAGTGCCAGCCTTCCAAGCAGCTAGAGATTATCAGTCTTGCGTTACCAGAATTTCAGCTACAAGTGACAATTTAGCTTACCAAAGTGATGTGTCTGCCCGAGTCCCCTGTACACTGTATCTGAACAGAGCGTTAGTGACGGTAATTCAGCTGGGATCACCTGTTGTTTTGCCATCACTTGTGTATTCCTCTGAATGCGCGACAAAGAAACACACTCAGTGTGCAAGCAATTCCACCAGTGTATACCGTTGTAGAAGGTATTGGTACTAATAACTCCACCAGTGTAGACCGCGGCTCTGTAAGGTTATGGTACTGATAAACTCAGGCAGCAGGACATCCTCAGTGATAACTTACTGTGGCAAGATCATGATGGCCACTTGGCCAGTATGTTGTGTTTTCGTGTCTGTTTTTCAGGCGATTACCATGCACAGATTCGGTCCTTTGTAGAAGAATCTCGCAGGAAATACGTCGTCCATTGTCGTGGAATTGTCAAATCATCGCCGATCCCTGCTTATATGTGTGCTCGTTGTCCTACAAGGTACGTCTCTGATTTTGCTGCAATACTACGCGACAAATACTGTAGTGCCAATCTTCTCCTGTTGAATGCTGTTTTAAATACGAGCCTGATGTTCACGATGCACTGTCGGCGCATCAGCCTGGTTTAATGTTGATACACTTGATGTGCGTGGAATCACCTGGTTTGAATGGAAACCTGATGTGCATAGAATCACCTGGTTTGAATGGAAGCCTGATGTGAATAAAAGCCATGCACTGAGATAGGCTTCTACCTGAAACAGCCCGGCTTTAATATATAATACGTGACACTACAGTACATGATGTGTATGTACAAGTAGAGTATTAGGTATTCAGTGTAAATAGTTAGGTAACATTTAGGTAGCATTTAGGTGGCATTCGTTCGTTCATCCTATGCTCTCAGTAGTCTCCCTCGTTGTCAAGAACCGGCATTCTTTTGTATATTTCTCCTTTCCCCCAAATCTTCTTAGTGAGCTGGAACAGTTTCGTTGTGTTGTTTTTTATCTTGTCGTAGGAACCCAACAGCACTAGCTTCGAAGACTTACTGGTTTGTAACTGTGACCAAAAGAGCCTTCCTCACCGGTTAGTGTATAAATGGCGCTGTATAGACATGATAACTGCTTTGTCGATTTTGCACCTTTAAAAAGGTGCAATAATCTATGTTACCAATGCTCACATACCACTGGCAATAGTCTGTCAGACACCACTGCAGCATTATCTTTAACACATGCTGGGGGTAATTACATGTATATGAGACGAACATCTTGTAGAAAATCGATGCACTTTGCCTTTAAGCTTGCCATTTGCACACAGCATCCATGTTACCCTCGTGCCAGGCCACGAGTTCCCAATGGCACCTATGCATAATTTTCCCGCGGTTTTTTGTGCGGGGCAACTTCACAACCTCGACACTGTACTTGCACCACGCAGCGCAGCATGCAGTCTCATGCATGCACGCGTGGAAACTCTGATGATCGTAGAGCCCTACGTACCTGCTTCGCGTTTGCTGAGGCTGAAGTACAATGTACAAATTTTTTTCCTTTGTGTTGGTGAAGAATCAAACTCAAAGCAAGACATTTATTTCCTTCTTGGAAGGCAAGGGTTGTCACAGTTTGCTGTTGTGTATAAGTAGCAAGTTAGTTAGAGATCAGTAAGCAGCTGACACAATCATGCCAAGCAACGCTCATTGTATCGTCCCTGGCTGCTCAAATCGTAAAAGCAGCTGCAAGTTTGGTTTGTTTGAAACTGATGATGCGAACTCGCAAGGACGAAAAGTGTTTGTGAAGCGTCGTCTATGTGGATCAGATCTGGCTCGTGTTGGCTGCGGAGGAACAGCAGAGGTCTGTAAAGCTGTATCTTTTCATCGTTTGCCTAAAGATTCGGATCGACGCCGGCATATCAGGGCCGAGTGGCTTGCCAAAATACCAAGAGTCAACACTCCTCTTTCTGGAAACTCGTATGTCTGTGGGGTGCACTTTCCTGGTGGTCGACCTGTGACGGAGGACGAGCCACCTTCCCGTTTCTTGGACAAAGCCGTCGTAGTGAAGAGGAAGAGCCGTGTTTCGACAGGCGAAGTCAGTCGACCCGTTGAAGCGATTGATATTGATGACGATGTTGATTTACCAGTCACAGATGAATCGGTGCCTGAGGCTGCAACACTTTTAGCTGACCATGATTATGGTGAAGTTCCCGTTCTCCAAGAGAACAAAATAAAGACTTTGGAAGCACAAGTGGCTAAGTTGCGGTCCCAGTTGGAGCAGGCCTTGTACAATTTGGATGAATCGGAAGAAGCTTTGCGGAAATGCCAACTCCATTACTCGAACATCCGACATGACAACAAGATTGTACTGTTTTACACGGGCCTGAGTTCTCTGGCGTTTGACTTGTTGCTGGATCAGTTGCGGTGTGGATGTCAAGACATGTGCTTTGCTACTAAAGTGCCAGCTGATTTCCTTGGCCAGGACAGCCGTGGCAGACGAAGAGCATTGGTGTATGAAGACGAGTTGCTATTGACCCTTGTCAAACTTCGGCATGCTTTCCCTGAGTCAGATTTAGCACTGCGATTCGGAATAGATCAATCCACGGTGTCCCGAATATTTTCAACGTACATTCGTTGCATGTACTTCTCTATGAAAGAAGTGGACATTTGGCCGAGCCGGGCTCTGATTGATCGCTACATGCCCGACGTCTTCAAAGACAAGTACCCACGCACCCGGGTAATTATTGACGCAACAGAGTTTCCCATTGAGAAGCCAGCCAACCCAACTGTACAAGCAGCCACCTGGTCGAATTACAAAAACAGGAACACTTTCAAACTGTTAGTTGGTGTGACACCTACCGGTGCAATATCGTTTCTGTCTCCTCTTTATGGCGGGCGCATTTCTGATAAGAAACTGACAAAGCGAAGTGGGCTAATGAAGTTGATGGAGAAGGGTGATGCCATCATGGCCGACCGTGGTTTCGACATTGCCGATCTGCTACCGGAGGGTGTCGATCTCAACATACCCCCGTTTCTTGGTTCTCGAGATCAGCTTGATGAAGAAGAGGTGATCGAAACTCGGCGTATTGCTAGCGTGCGTATTCATGTGGAGAGAGCAATGGAAAGGATCAAGAACTTCAGGATAACTCACTTCTTATCTTCCGTGTTGTGCCCTTTGGCTGAGCAGATCATATTTGTGTGTGCATTCCTCACTAACTACATGGAGCCCCTGGTACCTCCGCCTGTTAGTAAGCCATCGACACAGTCTGCACACTTTTCCTCTGCTGCAGAAGTTGCCCAGATATCACCAGATGCAAACATTTCTGCAGTGGCTGTTTCAGCTGGCACATTTCTTTCACCTGCCATTACTGCTTCTGCTGCTGCTTCCGCTGCTACCAAGTTGTCATCTGCTGTAGCTGCTACTTCTGCTGCTACGAACGTGCCATCTCCTGTAGCTGCTACTGCTGCTGCTATCAGCGTGCCATCTTCTTCTGTAGCCGCTGCTGCCTATGTGACCACTCCCGTATGTTTGTTTTGCAAGCGCTCAGATGGCCCACTTCTTAGAGTTTGTAGGTCTTGTAACTCACGCTACCACCATATGTGTCAGAATGATGATGAAGATGGGCGTCTATGTAATTCTTGCTTTATGACCAGGCCGCTCTGTTGAAAGCTTTTTGCGCATGCCGATATTCCTACGTGGCCTCGGTATTTTCTTCCCCTCTTTTCTTTGTGTTATGTTGTGAGTAATGGTGCCCCTACACAATGATGCTTATTTCACTCAGGACTTCGTACTTCGAAGTAGAAGTAGTGATGCTCCTATTTGTCTGTTTGTGCTGTTCACCAGGTAGGAAATGTGGCCTGTGACTGCTGCAAGTGCCGCTTACTTTGAAGTAAATACGAATACTCATGTAACGTTCATGCCTTTTTGAACTCCGTTGTAACACGGAATGGCGAGCTATTGTAAACCAGTTGTACGTGCCGTTTTTGTAGTGGTTACCAGTAATGGCAGTATAATTTACTATAACGCACTGTTTACAGCAGAGTTCCACCGTCTTGGGTACATGTATACAACACTACCTAATCATGTACAAATGCAGGAAGCCGGTAGCTGATGGAACTATCCACCATCTAATCACGGCGTTTATATCAAGAAGGAGCTACAGAACAGGGCAGAACAGAAAAAGCTATAATAAAGAACATAGAGTGCAGCGTATAGAACAGTTCAGACGCACTTACAGAAGAAAAGATTGCCACAAATCAGGGAAGAATGTAAACAGTCAAGACTACAGGAACTGGAGCAAAGTGAGCAATGGTCATCTCAGATGACGAGGAATATATCTATTACCAAGAAACTTGATCACAGAGCCAGTTTCGGGAGAACATGATCAAAATAAAATGTTCGGCAAGCTGCGAGAGTTTTCTTGACATGCACTTCACAAAATGAAATGCGCTCAACAAAAAGATCATTGCAGGGAGACCACACTACAAAGTCACAAAATTGAAGGCCTGCAGCAAAGAGCTGCATTTGCACTTGTGTATAGTAGGCATGTGTTGTTTTGAGAGAAAGCACACCATCCTTGTTGGACAAACAAAATGATGCAGTAGACCCAGCTACCTCTGCTAGACTTTGGTCTCTAGCAACAAACGGGCATTTAATCTCGAGCAAAAGTGATGTATCACCATCCCTAACAATGCCATCGGGACTGGCACCAAACCAGAATTCATCAGCATGCACAAATAAGCCACATGCAACAACATCTATCAGCTTGCCAGACTTGGCTTGGTGGGCTACGTAGGCACATCGTGCCTCTTCTTCATGATCAATCCCCCATCTGGTTGCAGGAGTGGTGAACGCCGGCCGATCAATGATAGTTTTTATGAGGGATGACGGGTCAGTCTGAGGTCGTCGATGAGCTACAGTATGGGCAATGGAAGCTGTAATACGCTTCTTTCGTTCATTCCTCCAGAGTTCACTTGTTGTTTGGGATGCAGTGGCTTCTTGCAGGGCATTGGCTTCTTCACAAGTAAGTATGACATTGGACTCGTACCACAGCATCTGCTTGTCCTCAGTTAGCCACTCGCAGTCAGATGGCACAGGTGTCACATCACCTGATCTGCTGTGCTCAACCTGCCACTTGTCCTTCTGTTCCCCTGCCCTAGCCAGTCTCTCCTTTTTCTGCGCTTGGGCTCTGTGCAACCTGTCCTCCTTCTGCTTAGCAGCAAATCCTGAGCTACCAGCAACAAGAGGCAATGCTAGGTGGATGGAGTTGGAGTGAATGGTTGAGTTGGCGTATTCCTCCACACGCCGGGCAAAGTCCATCCGCTTTGCAACAGCACGAGGGTCAAGTACTTCTGCAGCAGAATGCTTACGTTTCTTTGGCGCAGATTTGTCAGTGGTACTGCCACCTCTACGCCACTCCATGTCTTGAACCAGCATGGGCTCACTCTTTTTACCTGCACCTGCAGGAGGCTGGTTCCACTTTTGCAGCATGTCCGTGCACGTCGGAGCGTCACTAAACCCAAGCAGAGTGAACTCGGACAAGCCATACATCAGTGCAGCTATATGCTTGCAACTGGCAGTAACACCCTTGCCAGCAGGACAAGTGCACTGAGCACCAACAACACTGGTGGCAGATCCTGAGTCACACTGAGCAACGAGCCGAAGTTTGTAGTCAGCTTTGGTCTTCATTTCAGGCTGACAGCGGGCACGGTAGTACACACGGCTGTGGGCCTTCATCAGTTCGATTTTCTGGACATAACCTGCTCGATACAGACGAATTGACTTGCTATCAGTGGCAGCAAGCGCTTTGAAATTCTTGGCAGGTCCATCGCTGGTCATAGTGTCCACGAAATAAGAAACCATAGTTTGCATGGAGAACGACAGGGAGAGTAGCCTTCCACTCGCAGATTTAATCGGCTGCCACCCAGTAACAGGAAAATCCAGAGGGTCGTGGGGAATAACAGCAAGCGCTGCAGCTGGCGGAGGTGGCCCTTCCTTGCCATCACCGTCGCCTTCAGAGAAATGCTGAGCAAGTCTGTAAACGACACGAGCAGATAAATAACAAACTCAGATTCACAAATAATTTCAAAAAAATAAGATTTTGTTGTGGGAAGAAAACAACTCACCTCGCAACTAGATCGGCTTTCTTTCCCGACTTCTTGAGACCATACTCTCCACACTTCACCTTCAGAAGGTTCAAGGTGAGCTGGGAAAAATCCTGACTGACTGCCATCTTCCTGTCAACTAATATCGAAACTGTCTTCCACTGCAACGACTGAAAACAAAGGAGAGCCTCGCGTCGAGCAAGTTGCCCCGCACAAAGGTGCGAAGTCGCGATGGCGACCTGGCCGCCATGTTTTATGCATAGGTGCCATTAACTGTGGGTCGCAGCACAGCTGGACACATTCCTTCTGCAAGCAGGACTTGAACCTGGTACCCTCTGTTTCTCAACCATGGTCTTAGACCATCCCATTATGCCTGCGTGCATGCATGGATGCAGCTAATGGGATTTCGGTCTTTGACCACTTGGTGGTGGGTCTGATCTACTCACCTTCCACCGTTTAGGCGCTGCATTCTGCGCCTTGATCCTAGAGGGTGGTGGTGCTCCCACGGCGGATGCGGAAAACTCGCCTTCCAGCCAAGTCTCACGCGAACCGTGAAATTTATTTATTTATTGCATACAGCATGTTGGTATCTCTGTACTACAATTAATAATGATTGTCTATCGAATGTAATTGTCGGCGGGTATGCGTCTTTGAGCATTCACAAGGTAGAGGGAGTTGAAAGTGGAAATGTATGAGAAGAACATTGACTGTCACCTCCACGACTCGATCTACAATTGTAGGGATCTTTTCTTATGGCCAGCAATGCTCTACCACTAATCTATGGTGGAGTCTGTGAACAATTCACTGTTTTAACACTACTGTTTCATAATCTCTGATATTCTACTGTGTGCATTCTTGCCTAGGACACCCGATACATGTACAGCCTGCACATGATCTGGTGACGTCATGAAACCATTCTCTCCGCTACATGTACTTCACTCACAGATCAATACTGTGGTACAGGTAACTTGCTGCTTGTGCAATATCCTGAACTCACCACCCTGGTTCTCAATACTCATATCATTGCAACTGAAACATTGTCCAACCTGGCATCAACTGTATTCTGTCCACTGTACAATACGGTTATTGATTCTGAGCTGCTGACCTGATCTCTGCCTATACAACTTGACTCCGTGCAAACAGAAAACATCACCAGGAAGTGTGTTCTCGGCCATAGACACGGTGAGTTTTTCTCTATTCCCATTCCTGACATCTAGCACAGTGATGAAGTACATAGTGCTGTGAAATTCCTAGGAACTACATCCCATGAACCAGCCATGCAGGATAACGAATGACAACTAAATAAGCATTCGTAAAGATTAGGGCTACACCAACCATGGAAAGAAGATATGTTGTACAAGAATAGAATGTATATGCGAGGGGGCCGTAGGAATCACGCACATCCTGTGTGGAGAGGAGAAGCGGAAAGCATTGTGATTGGACATGTCCTTTTTGAGGAGAGGAAGCGGAGAGAATATCTATCTGAGTGATTGAAAATGATTGCAATGGCACCATGCAGACAGGCTGTACAGCATGCATGCATCGATCTACCTATGTCACTCTCAATAAGTGTGGTCTTGCACACTGTAAACAGATGTGGTGTGGCTGGATATATAGTGGGAGTGTAAACGCTCTACTCCATTCCTATCAGAACCCTTCCCCTTACCATCTACTGGTTTACAACAAGCAGCCACCAATGCAGCCACTGCCAGTGCACAGAGGAGCCAAGCAACAACTCAACAAGAACAACAACAACAACAACAACAACCGCAGGCTGATGTTGAACCATTGCTAACACACTACCGTAAGCGTCTTCTTCAACTTTGTCGAATCGAGAGCAAGAGGACTGCTCTACCAGGAATTGGGACACGGCGTGGAGGACAGACTGATGTTCGCAGTTTCTACACTAGCGTGCAGGTCTTGACACTGGAGCAAGCTGAACAACAACTGAACGAAAAGGGTGGGAAAACAGAGAGATGCAGCGTGACAACGGGATCAATACCAATACGTCGAGCATCCCAACTTCTGCAACGTAAGCTAGGTGAACATGTGCCATCACGTTACGATAACGACCGCAGATCACTTGTTGAAAGCAGCATGCTTGTTTCTCCAGCTGGCAGCGGGAAAAGCACAGTGTGTAAGATGCTTTTGTACGACCACTACCATAACAACACTGACAGCAGCAACAGCAACAGCAGCAGTGCTGTACCTTCTTGCAGTGCTGTGGACAGCGGTACATGCACCAGTGCTACTGATCCTCATTCCACACGCCAAGCCAACACTACAATCATCAAGGATGTAACTGCTACCAACAGCGGTAACGCCTCCACCATGACAGGCAGTCTTAGCACCTCTTCCAACACACCCAGCAGCAGCACCAGCAGCAGCACCAGCAGCAGTACATGTGGTAGCAGCAGCGAAAACAGTGCAAGTGGCAAGAATGATGACGGCGAAAGTTGTGGAAGCAGAGATGGGACCAACATTGGAAAACGTCGTGGGAGCAGCCCTGAGAGCAGCGGTGGGAGAAGTCGGAGACAACATGCTGCTGAAGAGGAGAGGAAGTTTAGAAGAGATGCAGTGCTGTCCAACTTCAGCTATGTCGTACATCTATCTTGTCGTGATGTGGATAGAGTCTGCAGTTACAATAGGTCTACTCTACTAGGCCTGGATGAACAATGTCTGCATCTAGACACACACCAGCAAGACCAAATGATCGAGTACCTAGAGGATCAATCACAACAAGTCCTATTCATTGTCGATGGATTGGACGAAATTGGCAAAGATATGCTTGAGGAACGATCAGCTCTCACAGCCCTCGTCCATCGTGAGCGGTTTCCTGACTCCCGAATCTTGTTGACAAGCCGTCCTTGCCAGTTAGCATCCACGCTTGCAAAACAATGTGAAGAACACTATTGGCTGGCTGGGTTCACTGATCATCAACTCGAACGCTACTGCTTTCGTAGTCTTGGTGAAGATCTTGGGCAGTCTTGTTGGGACGAGCTATGCGAGGTTAGCTCGGTGCACGTCAAGGAAGCACTGAAGTCCTCCCCATTGCTATGTGCAATGCTCTGTGAGCTCTACCGAAGTGGTCAGAATGTACCGAGGTGTGCAACCATGGTGTACTCCAAGCAAGCTGCAAACCTGCATGGCTGGCGGTTACAAGATGATGAAGTCAGCCTTGAGAGCCTCACACTGAGTAACAGCTTGGCTGGTGCCACTGTAGCGTATAGCGTATCCCCATACGTTAGCGTATCCCCGTACGTTAGCATATCCCCGTACGTTACTGTATTCCCGTACGTTAGCATATCCCCGTACTGTATCCCCATACGTTAGCGTATCCCTGTACATAAGCGTACGGAGTCTGCCTTTGTATTAAAAGCTGCTGCTCACGATTCTTTTATTGCCAGTCAGTTAATTTAGTTGCCAGTCAGTTAATTTAGTTGCCAGTCAGTTAATTTAGTTGCCAGTCAGTTAATTTAGTAGCCAGTTAGTTAATTTAGTTGCCAATGAGTTAATTTCGTTTCCAGTACATTTCAATTGCCAATTACAGTGTGTTCACTGAGACCCTTGTGCGTTCTTGCCTCCGAAAGACTGCGGCCCGCTACAAATTGGTGGCAGCGGTGGTTAAAGTCAACTTTGTCAGATTCGACCCCACCTGTTTTACGTGCTACAAATTGGTGGCAGCGGTAAATTCATTTTGTTTCATTGTATACCTAACTTTGTTACTTTACACGTTTCTCAGACCCCCATGGCTCAACCCGCTACAGGTCCGTGCGACGAATCAAGATGAGAATCATGTTTCTTGCCTTCCTGGGCTTGGCCCTGCTTATTAACCTGCAGCACAGTCAGGGTGCTAGCGTGGATCACCCTTCTCTCCGCACGGCACTCACTGGAGACTCCGATGGCGATTCCAAGCGACCCGCTACCTACATGTATACTACCGGTGGTGATGGCGAAGCTGATGAGAACGACGACATGCAGGCTGCTGACCAAGACAAGGAGGGTATTCCCCCAGACCAGCAGCGTTTGATTTTCGCAGGCACGCAGTTGGCAGACGGCCGAACCCTGAGTGACTGCAACATTCAGCAGGAGTCCATTCTTCACCTGGTACTTCGTCTCCGTGGTGGGATGCAGATTTTCGTCAACACTCTTCCTGGCTAGACCATCTCTATACGTCGCGCCAAGCCATGCTATCGACAATATGTGAAGACCACGATTCAAGACGAGGGGTGATCTGTGTGACGCCGAGCTAGCCGCTCTGAGTGACCGGTGTAAACGCGAAAACGGTTCCTCCGCGAAAATGGTTCCAGGCATACACCGGTTACCCCCTGGAACCGTTTTCGCTAGCGAAAACGGTTCCACCCTAGCCGCGAAAACAGTTCCTCCGCGAAAACGGTTCTTCCACACATTTCCTGCATCTATGGCCCTCTTGGAACCGTTTTCGCGGATGGGGTCTCACCGCGAAAACGGTTCCAGCTAGCCGCGAAAACGGTTCCTCCGCGAAAACGGTTCCACACATTTCCTGCATCTATGGACCGTTTTCGCGGATCGACATGCATCCGCGAAATCAGTTCCCGATTAATCATGAGTTGTGCTTTCGGTTTTTTTTCTTCAAAACATCCTGAAGATGTCTTCTCTTGGTGGTAATCGGGCGTGTTACGACGAAGTCTTGCAAGCGTTGCTTGCAAACGCCTGCCTCGTTTCCTGCGGACGCGAAGAGGCGTAGAGCAATAAAACGCTTTGCAGTCAACTTCGTCTTGGATCGTGGGGTCCTTTTTCGCCAAACAGATGAAGGCCTACCACAATGGATCACAGACGACGGCCAACAAAAGGAGATCTTGCATCCATGCCACTCGCATGATATGTCTGGTCACCTTGGCCGTGATAAGAGAGGAGGAAGGTCTGTGAGAGGTGAGTAACTAATATTACTTGGATTTATTTATTTTCAGTCTCAAATCAGTGAAAGTCGAGAGGATGGTAGTGTGTGGTGTAAGTAAGGGAGTTAGTGCACCACATTTTTATAAATTATTATTACTTTCAACCGTCTTCATGAAGGCCCACACACAGAACTGACCACAACTGACAACGCTTCTGTTGGCATATCAGTACAGGAATAGGGCTTGAAAGTGCTACGTCACTCCATAGCAATGGCATAGCAACAATTTGAAAAATTCGAAAACTGGATCCACCTGGATCCAGTTTTTGTATGGATCCAAGCACATTTCAAGCGGTCTCACTCAC